ATCATCAACAACCAAGCTCGGGAGGTTTTCTCTGGAGAACAGGATAAACAAGGTTAGCAAAATCTTTGCTACAGAGCCAAGTCACGGGCTGAGAAACGTTACCGAAACGTAGACGTTGCTTCAGCGTTGAGGAGGTGTCCTCAACTGCTTTTTAAAGGGTAGATGATTCAGGTAGCACAGGTGAGGTTGATGATCCAATCACAAGGTGGCAGCAAGCAATTAAGGTGAGGAGGTGGAAATGCCTCAATGGCCACTTTCATATAGAATTCAAGGAACTACGAGTTGATCTTTTTTGGTGTGCCACATACAGTAAGATCTTTGCTGTACAATAGCCAGCTTTTGGCTATCATGCCAGATCCGTAAAGTGCATTAACATCTGCAGTGTCAATTTCTTYGTACAGCCACTCATGTGATACTAAATCATTATAACAACAAGGTTAATATACCATTCTATGTAGTCTAGTCAGGCCCTCGTTGTCTTGAACAGTTTCCTCGTCATGCTCAAACTGGGCTTGATTTGCTCATTGCGGAGAAGCCATCCATAGCATCCCACACACTTCCTTGGACTATTCTTGATGACTTGTTCTTGGTGTTGTCTATTCAGGAAGATTGTTTGAGGCACCAGCCCCATCTTGCTGTGTCTGAGAGCAATGTCTGGGAGTATGAGATCTGGCAATGTCATGATCTGAACAATATCCTTCATATTCATCATGGAGATGTTAACATCCCAACAGGCTTAGTGGGCTGTGGTATGAGGGTCTTCAAATCTTCTACTGTCTACTGTCACTGGTGCTTGGCTCCTGTTGTGGGGGTTGGTATTCATTATCCCCCATGGGATCATCTTCCACCTTTGAGTTTTCTCCATCAATTAACTTCAGTAAATACATTACTTATGGCAGAGAATAATGATATGGGAAAAACCCCATCATGAGAAAAATKAAATAAAAATCTGTGCAGATTTATTTATAAAACATGCTGTATCTACTTGCACTGTTGTAAGCTATTGTTTTCTACCAAAATCATCAGAAAGTACAATTTCATTCATCACATTTTGTTGAAATAACGTATAAACATTTTCAACAAAACTAACTCCCTATGTCCACATTTGTGGACATTTTCAACAAAATGATCAGCATTAAGTCCTTATGTCCACATATGTGTACATCAAGTTTAGCAGGATGGTAAATCATTACATTTACCAACTTTTGTAAAATTATAACATAACAAACATTGAACACTTTAGAAAATATCTGAACAAGAATCAGCTATGAAATTTACCTGAATTTTTTACCTGCGTGAATTTTGTATCATGAGTTGCAATCCGAATTTCTGGATGTGTCGGCAGCCATCTTGAATCTAACCTGTAGTGTGTTATACTATTCTGACACCACTAAGAGGCAGTATATAGTCCTCATGTGTGGACACCAAACCTTATAGAGTAAAATTTTGTATTGTGGTCTAGACCACCCAAAATGTGTTGTCCACATATGTGGATGCAGGGTCCCATGAGGTTAAAGGTGTCTCCTCATTTAACCAGAAGTCTAGCACATCTCTGACCTATGAAGAGCTACTTCTTGGTTAGTTGGTTGCACCAAAGAAGCTCTTCATGTTAGATGTTCTAAGATTTGATGACGTGCTTTATGACTTTAGGTCAACCAAGTATTAAAAAATGCCCAGAACTGTGACTATTGATGATCGTTCTTTCATGTTATCAAGTGATTTTGTCTTCTCAAAATGTACGAATCTTCTGCTCACAGTCATTGTGGAGGAACCAGGCTCTGGGAGTGGAGGTGCCTCTCCTCACGAGTTTTTATTGATTTTTTTTTCTTGTTTTTATCCCATAAGCATCTTGCAAGTCACCTTCTTTTTTCACATTTGAATAAAACAWAACTAATTAATAGCATGTTCTCAGACATGTCCTTCATAAGTGAATGTGTATTTTCTGCAGATACGATTTTGATGAGTTGCATATGTGAACAGCTAATTTTGTTGATAGTTCTTTTTTTTATCAAAACACAAAGACAGATAAAAATTGGTTTCTGTTTAAAAAAGGATCCAACCAATAAATAAAAATACAAGCAACTTTAAATACCCAGTATAAGAAAAAGGTTTTAAGAATGTCCTATRGTGCCCCCTTGTGGGACCCAGGGGTCATGGATCTGTTACACATATCCGCATTCATTTTACATACAGCATGTTGCAATGACTGAAAAATGTCAATTCAAGCTTTAATGTTAGAAATCTAGAGTTACTAGATTTTAGATTGGTTTAAATACAGGCACATAATCTACCAACAATCTTAGTGTTGAAGGTTTTTGATGTGAGAAAAAAACTGTAAAGAAACAAATGTTTTTTTTAGGTTTTAAAACAATTCCAACTTCAAACAACACATAACATCTCACACTGTAGTGATCATTTCACAAAGCGAGTCACTTTACCTTCAGACAGGTAAAGTTACAACCTTATAGAGAAACTATCCTAAACACCCTCCTGGAGCAGTGGCTCCATGCTTTTTGCCAAAGATTGTAAAAAACATCCATCCATTTTCTTTATTTGATTTTTCTTTCTGGATTGCAGGGAAATAATTTGATTTAAAAGGTTTAATGTACTGAATCATTTTTCCATATATAAAACCATAGACTAGGTACTTCTGAAGCACCTAAATAGCAAAAACAATGAGCAGTAGGTGAGTAAATAAAATACTTTATTGAAAGAACAGCATCATTAAATACACATAAGTGTATTGATCTCTTGGAAATGCTTCAGTGAGTAAAAAACTAATACTGGACAGACAGCAGGTTGTATTAAAACCTGGTATTCTATCTGTGAGACTGTCCTCTGTGAGTAAACGTCACRTCCTGATTCAAGCTGAGCTTCTTTTCACAGAGACAGTGCTAGAAGCCAGGAGATGGGTCTCTTTCATTCAATTCAGTAATTACATTTCTGCTGCCAGCCCACCGTCACATCGATGAAGTTGACGGCAGTCCAGTCCACCGACTCAGTCTTTGTGTCTTCCAAAGGTAACGTTGTGCTGCCGTACCCAGGCTGCGAGAATAAATGCAACAAATCCACTGTTTTCAGTCACACACAAATCCAAATTATCCCAATTCTGGTGTCTAACAAGAGTCAAGTCATGCCTGCTTTTATTTTCTTAAGTAGTTTCATCTTAGTGAGGACCATGAACAACAAGTTTGACTCTTAAAGACCACAGTTTCTGCTTCACAGCATCCCCAGGGCTTCACWGCAGACCAATCAGCTGCTGCTTCAAATGAAGCGGTCACAGCAGCCCGTTTCCTCTTCTGTCTGTGGGGCACAGCAGCAGCTGGCTCTGCTGCTTCACACTCAGAATGAAGTCCCTTCAGCCGCTTTGAAGTATTCCTTAAAGTCAGTGGGGACATTGAGCATTGAGCAGACCTGAAGATAGCAGACAAAGGTTAGTTGATGTTTTGTTGTTGTTTAACTTCACAGCTGACTGTCTTTAAAGCAGAATAAACTTTTGATCAGGACCCCAATATATTTTACAACTATATTTTTTGCCAAGAAAAGTCTCCATTCCTTGAAGTATCTCATATCATCCACTGCCTCTTAGGTCAGAGTTTTGACTAAAATGAGGATGTAGAATAGAATAGAATAGAATAGAATAGAATAGAATAGAATAGAATAGAATAGAATAGAATAGAATAGAATAGAATAGAATAGAATAGAATAGAATAGAATAGAATAGAACAGAACAGAAATAGCCTTTATTGTCCCGCCGAGGGGAACTTCAGGTATCACACAGGCGTCAAAAGGAACTGGGTTTTACTAGTTTATGTCAAATTTTGTAAATGACGATCTCACAGTTCTGATTTTGCAACATCTCACATGAGCTTTGAGTTGAACAATGCCAAAATTTAGCTTAATACCTGCAAAATATGCTAATTTAGAGCCCGTTTTGTGTTCGCTAAGGTTGCTTAGCTGTCAATTTGACTGGGGTTGACCTAAAAAGTCATTAAATTATAGATCTCCACTTAACAATTACATACCTAAAGTTTCCTTAAAATCATACCAGTATTTCATGAGATATTTCGCTAACGGTAAAGACAAATGCACATGCAAAGAGGCATTATGAACTCTTTGGTGGCATGTGATAATGATTTTTTTTTTATTTTTCCTGAACAAGGTTGTTTAACATCTCCTTGAATCATCCCACCCTCACCAACACCCACCTGCACTGTCCACATAGGTGTCCCTGCCATGTGTCAGGGCTAGGGATGGGTACTGAATTTGATACTTTTATAAGTACCGACCGAATTCTGTCGATACTACCGAGAACCTAGTCAAGTAACGTCAAACGGTACCATGTTTCGGTACCTAAACGCATTATTGTGACCGTATTGGCGTAAGAGTGGTGAGTTTTCCATGCTTGTCCTGAATGCAGCATCACGTAAGAGCGTAATGACGTCAGCAGCYRCTGGTTCAGTAAACAGAGGCAGAGTTCAGTCTGTAGCTTGAAAGCCTCGCAGCTCCTGGAGTGAAACTCACCGAACAGACTGCTTCTTAATTATCTGGTGGATTAATTATCTTGTGAGCATGACGTTCGCTTTCTCAAAGTAAATAAAGTACAGCCACTTTCTTTATCTCATCCGCCATTAAACAGAGAGCGGCAGAGGAAAACAACAGAGGTGCTTCCTGACAGTCCGAACACGTCTGACCTGAACTGAAGCAGCTAACTTCAAGTGTTGGACGTGTTTTAGATGCTCAAAACGTAGCTTGAATACTTGTTATTTATTTAACTCCATCCTCTTTTGCTTATTTGATTTAAACTTATTTGCCTTCCATGGACCTCCATCACACATTTTTCTAGTGGGGAAATGACATCAATAGAAATACATGGAGCTGGATTTTAATTTGTGYAATAAGACAAAACAGTCTTGTTGTTTTCAAGAGTTTTCASKTTAAAGAAATWAGTTAMAMAMCTGATGTTACAATACAAAGAGTTGGATGTTGTCTTGACATTTGTTAAATTTTATATGTTGAGAAACATGTTTAAAAAAGTTTATTATTAAAAAAACAACACACACAAAGTACCAAAAATTGGTACCGTTAAGTACCAATTCTCAGGTACCGGATATTGGTACCGAATTGATTCAAATGTCAAAGGTACCCATCCCTAGTCAGGGCCCCAAGCTGCTAACAATCAACTGTTGGAAACTCCCAAGCTTCAGTGAACATCTGTGTCAGTTGTTTTTTCAGTGTGTAAAAGCACGGTCTGCAAAGTCAGCAATTTTCCGCGCTCTCAACTGGACCTGTTTAACCCGTTCCAGTTCAGGTTAACGAGAGGTAGGTCACACTGACTAGACGTTCAAAAGTGTTAGTGAGTTTCATTATTAAAAATAATGTACGGTAACAACAAAAAGGTAAGCTTTGAGGCATGAAGGGAAAATATTTCATGTCGTCATAAAGGTACAAATCAATCTGTATGATTTGTTCATTGAGATCTATTTTTTTGGTCTCAGTAAAACCAATCAGTGGTCAGATTAGAAAGTCAACCTGTGTTACTGAAGACAACAGATTGGATACCTGTCTGAACTTGGCTCGGAGCTTCTCAATATCATCCTGTAGCTTCACAGACTGGGGATCATCAAAAGGAAGGTTCTGGATCAAAGCCACTAGACTGTCTAGTACCTTCATCCGCTTTCTAAACGACACACAGGAATGCAAATGTTACAGTAAAAAAAAGATTATTTAAGCTGACTTTAACATCAGAAAGTGCAAATAATGGTACATTTCTACTCTAAGTCCCTAACAAATGGTATTTCAAACTGTTTTTTTCAAGTGAGGTAGGATGTGTGAAATGCTCGTTTTATTTTTTTTTTAAGAAGTCCTTACCTGGATTTGTTATCTGTGCAGCGTTGTAGAAGACATTTCCATGTGATGGCAAAACCATAATAAAAGGAAACCTGTCTGAGGAAAAGAGACAGTTATTCTGAGCCAGAGTCCCATCAGATGAGCCAATAGGCTGCTGAGTGAACCTGGACCCAAATTCTGTCTAGTAGGTCCAGGTTAGAGAAGAGCAAGAGACTCAGTCAGGAACCAAGACAGCTGCCAACCCACAGGTCTTTGCTAAAACAAGCCAAAATTCACTTTCCTTACCTCAGAGGACAGCTTGGCTCCATGAGATGCTCCGTGTCYGCGGCCTTCCTTCAGCCCCTGACTGGTCCCCTTCTCAAATCCCTCCTGGTAGCCCTCACCTCTGAACCTGCAAAACAGACAGATTTGAGAACACTATTTAAAACAGGTCAGTCCTGACATGACACCTGTGTTTGTTTGAATACAGACTGCATTCAGGTAGGCTGGTGTGCTAAGATGGGTTTAAACCCCACTGTGATTTCACCAACAGATCTGATATTTTTCATGTATTACCAGCTTTCATTCAAGGAAAAGACTTGGTCACAACTTAATACACTTGAAACCCTAACTTTGCAACTCAAATAAACATAAAATTATTTATGTTTGCGCGTAGCCAGACCTACAGATACCAGTGTTGGTTGTAAATGCAGATTTTGTTTTATTCAAAAACCCATACAAAACGATGAGTTTATTTACGATTATGGAATATAGTTTGGGCCACTTTGCACAAGAATAAAATGTTGGTATTTTTACCAAACAAATGGTAAGTTAAGTTGCATCACTGTGTTGCAATTATTTGTGAAAATAGCATGGCTAGCTGCTAGCATCACTCGCGCATGCGCATTCAACAGTTGTTCCGACCCCAAACCCCGGTTTCTACTTACTCCCACTCGACGAATACACAGAACAGTAAACCAGACAAATGACTTCCAGCAAACCCACCTTTCATCGGCTAAAAGAATGCTGTCGAACAGATCCTCTRCTCCCTGTCCACCTGCCATCGTTCCACTAGACCCAGGCAAAGGAAACAACCGGAAACAAGAGTTTTCTTCTTCGCTGGTTTTACGTAGTTTGTAATCAAAGTAAAGAGTGCATTACCGCCACCATCTGTTCCGGAGAATCTCCCACCACCACGCCGTGTTCATGATCTTCAAATGAATGGATGAGTGACTTACACTCACCGGCCACTTTATTAGGTACACCTGTCCAACTGCTCGTTAACAATTTCTAATCAGCCAATCACATGGCAGCAACTCAGTGCATTTAGGCATGTAGACATGGTCAAGACAATCTCCTGCAGTTCAAACCGAGCAGCAGTATGGGGAAGAAAGGTGATTTGAG